ATTCGAATCAAAAGTTAATTCCAATATGCAAATAGAAGAAGTAAGCCATTAATTAGTGATTTTGGGCATTCAGAACGAACAGTAGCTAGTCAATGTCTCGTTACTGATTCTTTCAGATTCCTCGTCAAATTTTTTGGTTTGTTTGACGATGTGCGTTATTAGAGCTTTGACATTTCTTGTATGCCAGACAGGGCGTTAATAGATGTATGGCGGAAAAAGCGACGTTAAAGTCGACAAAACAAAAAATGAAAGCAATGAAAGTTAACAAACTGGAAACGCGACATGATATTATATAGGCTCAAACATCGCTGTTCGTCATTATTGCTTTGATTATGAAAATTGTATCTCAAAAAACATTTTTAAAGCGACTCCCTTTTAAACGTTTGCAAAATTGGCTAAGTAAAAACTTATCTACTGGTTTCGCATGATATTTCGTGTAAACATTTTTATATCAATAGCAATAAATTTTAACAAAATTTTAATTACCTTCTACTGTACCTGAATTACAGGCGAAGATCAAAAAATTGTTCCTGATTCCATAAGTTTTATCGGTCCTGTAGCTAACGTTTTTAAAAGCATCAGGAATAATAATCTTTTGCATGAAATTAAATAAATTAATAAAAATTTTCTAGTGTTCTCATGTAAAAGAAATAAATAATATATTTAGATGGTTTCAATAACAAAGTGAATTTTTTCTTTATTTGTCCATTGTTCGGATTTTGTGATTTTTATTCGACGTAAGTCTCCTTGTTTCGTGGGTTACTGACCTTCCTCTATGTGGTCTTTAGTGACTATACTAACCGTGTGGACAACGTAAAGCGGGGGGCCTTAATGTACATGAAAGGCCTACACGTGATTGACGACTTTAAATTTTTAAATTCTCCCATTGTCTTGCCTTATCTCCTACAACTTTTCGCTTTTCTTAGAACGGCAAACCACTGCCTTCGCCGCATCATTGCCTCATGATCATATTCAAGAGCCTACGTACACATATATGTATAGTGGACAATGGTTAATCCACTTACGTAATATATATATATAGATCTTGATCCTGTATTACGGGGAAATTGGTTCGATACCGACGAAAATTAGTTCTTTTTGGAAATATCTCATATTAATTCAAATACGGTGATAGACAGATTTAATTTTTTCTTATTGTTAAGGGGTGACGGGGAGATCATAAATCTTGTGTAAGATTAAAAACTATAAAGTAGGTTTTCATGATCTATGCTAATTTGTAAAGAGATAATGTTGGGATATTGGAGATAATCTCTGGAGTTGCTCATTGGATTTCAAAAATTCTTTCACCCATATTTAGAATGCACCTTCATGGTAGATATAAAGTATATATTACTCTATTAAAATAAGAGGGCTTTTTGTGGAAATCATAACATAAGTTTTTCAAAACTTTGGCCCAGATGAAAATAAAAATTCAGACTTTAAAGCTTAACTTTCTGCAGTAGTTCATACAGAATATTCTCAGGATTACTTTTTAAAGATGTCCTGAAAATGTCCTGACGCATTTATTTTTAAGATAAACATTCGGTCGTTAGCGGTAAAGTAGTAAAAGAAAGACGTTCCCTGACCTCAGAGAAATAAATTAGAAAAAATTAGATAAGCTACCTGATAAAATAAACATTTATAAAAATAAATTACATTCAATGGTCGAGTAGTGCCGTTGAATGAAAATTTGAATTTAAATTGATAGGAAACCATGCGGAACTTTAATAATTGCCTGTCTGCACATCACTGTGTCATTTGACTATAATAATACCTAAATTGTGTGCGATATTTTTTAATGTTTAGCATATTAATGGCGAATATATGTATGACTACTGTGTACTGCCTCATTTAAATTGTTTCTAATTGCTCATAAGTAAAATGCAAAGAAACAGTTACATGAGTAGCATACAAATCAGTTCTTTAATATTAGACAACGTATTTACGCCAGCGCGGAAAGAAGGTTCATCGTGATAAGAAATCTAAAATAAATTAAGGATGCATCGTTTGTAAACTGTCTTCACGTCCTTCATAATACACACATGCTCAATAGATTTCATCAAAATCTTTCCTTCTGCAATAAACATGTACTACTTACAGTAAAAACCACATTTTATTGCACATTATTATAAAAATAATCTCAATTTCGTTTAAATTTGTCATTTTATAATATCAAACCACCCGGTATACTTTTTTGTAGTTATACAGCCAACAATACACCTGCGTTTGAAAGGTAACTGGCTACCGCAGTGAACCAATACAATTTTTAAATATTTAAAAAAAAATGGTAAATTAAATGCATTTGATATTTATTACTTACTTGCTTCTTTTTTTACGAAGTATCTTAAACTGATAAGTAATTAATAGAGTTAATTAATTAACTGTCTTATTAAATAAAAGTAGTTTTTTGTGTAGGTTTAACGTGCGTACAACAAAGAAATAAGTTAAATTTTTGATATGGTTTCTAATAGCTTGGCGACACCCAACACCCAAGGTTCTTGAACCATTAAAGCCCAAAAGCAAATAAAGTCATTTGTGTACACAAAACGCTAGACATTATTCTGATAGATATTGATCTGTTTTTCACATTTAGCTGACCTGCTCTAGCTCTCTTTTTTTTTATTTTATTTTCGATTGGTTCCACAAACTGCGTATATACGTATTATACAACATCAGGGCACAAATGCATGCAGGAATTGTCTACCTACTTATTAATATTTTATTACAACGTCAGATAACAGAATTGAACTGTCCGCTTCATTGATTATTTTGTGACAAATAGGCAAATAACAACCACTAACCTTTCAGTGCAGATAAATAAGAAATTTTCCGGTAAAAACAGAACTGTATTCGAAACTTAAAAAAAATGAATTTTTAATTGAAACGTCCCAGATTTTTACATTTCTACCAATCACCTTAAACCTATCACGCTAATTATCCGATCAGAAATAATAGTAATTACATATAATAATTAACCCAATTATTTTTTAAGAAATGTCATTTTATAATAGTGAACCACCCGGTATACTTTATTGTAGTTATGCAACCAACAAAACACCTGTGCTTTAGAGGTGACTGTTGCTGAAGTGAATCCAATGCAATTTTTAAAAAGTTTTTTGAAAAATTGAGTAAATTAAAAGCATTCGATCTTTATTAGTAACTTACTACCTTTCTTATAAGACTGACTGTACAAAACTTAATTTTTAATTAAAACAATTAACTTTGACAAGTAAGATATATTTTTTTTGTGCTTTTATTCGATTTTCATCTTTCTTAGTATTACCTGAAGGTAATCTTAACGTAAAACTTAAGTGTATATTTATATAGAAGGTGCCTCGCAATGTTTACTCTCGATGCAGAATCTGCCCTATCAATCAAGTGTAACCATGGTAACGGTGCGACGCTGTCGGGCGCCTAAAACTACATCCAAGCGTCTTAAACCAACGCCCAGTTTTTTACGATAAAGAGCCCACCCGAAAAATCAATAACTAAGTAAATTGTAGACATTGCAGCAATAAACTACACAAACAACTCTATAGCCAATATAAAAATGTTGGTTCTTAGAGTATAAAGAAAAACAGTTTCCCTGATTTGAAAAGTTCTTTTCAATTTGTAAGTTTAATTATTGAAACTCTTTACCTTTTAAGTTTTAAAGTTACTTACTTAGATATATATATTAAAGTAGTCTACATTTCTTTTAATTTTACGATTAGTTCAAGTACTTTTTTGTTTTATTAAATTTTCAAAAAAGAGCGAAATCAATATGAACCATGCTTTTTTGAAATGAGTATAATGTACAAAATTAAATCTTACAAAGGTGCAATAATTAATTTTTCAAATTTTCGTGTTTTTAATTATTTTTACGTGAGTTTATTAAAGGGTATAACTTTTGTTGTGATCCACTGTATGTAGGTACATTAAGTTGTTTTTGTTTCATTAATTAATAGATCTAATTATATATTTTTCTTGATAGTACAACGTTTTTCAGTGCAAGATATTAAGGCATTTAGCAGTTCTTACATTAATGCTTTAAGTTGTTTAATGTATGTATACTAAATTGTACGGATTCTAAGGTCAGTAGTTAATTAACTTTTGGTGTTGCATTTTTCGGGAATTCGTCAATGTTTTCAGGATGGCTAATACAAGCTGCACTCAAAATCGGGTCATGGTACAACGAAATCGTTTAAGTTGCATGGCAGCAAACTGCATTCACTAAAAACTTGTCCCAACCTCTAAACGAAAGAAGAACCAACCAATAAACCGGTCCAAGCGGCGCATTCGTCATTTTTTATCTTACGCGCAATATATTCAGTACATCTTTGTCTTCCTTAGAAACGGAAACGAATTTCAAAGGAAGTAGTACAAAATTCTATCACGTAGCGTCATCTCTAGGACATATTGTACATTACAAAAACTTACTCCCGCTGCGCCATCTCTGATACAGTAACTGATATAAAAGCTGCGACGCTCACCAAACTTTTACAGCTTTTTAGAATTTACAAAAGCAGTTACTCTTTTTAATACTATAAACTGTAAAACTACTTTAAAGTTAATTTTCTAATCAATAACGTTAGAAAAGTTTAGATTGGATGTTCTACAGGATTTATAATTTTTGTTGTAATTTAATTTACCTCTTTCGTTCCTTATATAATCAATAGCGTTTAGCTATGAATTAGATATATAATTTAATACCATCAGAATTAAAAAGAATACGTAAAATAATTCTACTCATATAAAAAGCTAAAATGCCATTTTATTTTTGATTTAATTACCCTTTACATTTTATTATCGTATTTGGCATTGATAAATAATTAATCGAAAACATGTTTTATTAAAGACCGAGGTAGGGAGAATTCATTAGTTATAAAAAAATAAACAGTTTTATAGAAAAAGAGCAAACAAAATTATCTTGATTTCGTTTTTGTGGTTCGTTATCTTGTGAAGTGCAAGTAAAGTAGTGTAATTGTGAACGTGCCACAAAAATTCCTACAAATCCGAACAAACCCGAATGTAAGCTTTGCATATGTCCATCTTTCTCCAAACGAATTACGTTTCTCTCTAGCAACATGGCAGACATTTCTAAAGAAGATCTCCGCAAAGAAATTACCGGTAAGTAGTAGTTTCTTTCTTATTTTTTAAGCCGTGAGTGCGATATACGTAAAATTAACAATGTATTTTTTTTCTGTACATTTTTTCTATATAAGTTTTTGCCGGTTCACAGTCAAAATCGGGCATTTTACTCTTATGCCCAACACTTTTCAACATAGAAACAATGGCTATATCCTATACGACGCTGTATGAAGGAGCCATAAATTAACCAACTATGTAATTTCAAAAATCTCTGAAACTACTGGTTTTTTGAAGATGTGATTTATACAAAATCGGTGTAGAAAAATAAGACAATTTTTTTAGTTTATAAATCTCCTCGAGTTTATTAATAATTTTAAAAATATTTTTACGTTGTTGTAAAGCTTGTTTGAAACCAACGCCAACTGTTTACGTTTTTGAGATCGATTTTTTATTTAAAAGTTAATATTTGACAGTACTGGTAGTAATTCCTTCTTTTACAATAAGCTTTCCGTATTTTAATTTTTGAAAACAAATTTTTCGATCGTTTGTCAAAGTTAGTTTATCAACAGTTGTGTTTGAATCGTTAGCATTTGCGCGCTTGTACAGAGTCCAGGCGGGAAAGAACCGTGCTCTTTCTAACAACTTTTATTTTGAAAAATAGCTATTCTTAAGGACGCCGATTTGGATTCTACGTCTACAAAAAAAGTACGACAGCAGTTAGAGACAAAGTTGGGTGCAAACCTTTTAAGCCGTAAGAAGGAAATTGACACTTTAGTTATGGAGTACGTAAACTCTAAAGAAAAGAAAAATGATTCTGAAGATGGTGAAGGATCAGAGGAAGAAGAAGATGAAGTCTCTGAAGATGAAAAGAAAGGTAATAAGAGAGCATCTTCTGGTAAGAAGCCACCTGCAAAAAAGGCTAAGAGTTCAGAAGAATCCGATGCAAGTGAACCATCTGAGGGTGAATCTGAAGAAGAATATTCACCGAAGAAATCAAAGCCTCCAAAGACCCGCAAACTCCCCCCAAAAAAGAAGAAGGGATCAGAATCTGATTCTGATGAAGATTGGGAAAAGGCAAAGAAAGCTCCAGCAAAGAAAACTGGAGGAGGTGTAAGTGATTTTATTTTAATTTGATTTTATTTACCTGATCAGAATTTTTCAAAAATACTGGTTAATTAATCTCATAAAGACAAATTATAATTACTTATATTTGAGTTCAGTAAATGCGTAATAACATTAATTAACTAAAAATAAAAATTAAGTATATAAGCATATAAACTTTGAGATATTTTCATTAAAAAATGCACAATTATATATTCCAAGGAGTATGTGCAATATAACTAAAAGAATATGTTTTGATCTAATTTTGAAATATTTAATATTATGACATAATAAAAGAATTAAAGCTTGAATTGCTGTATCAAAGTTTTGTTATAACATTGCAAAAAACATCTAGTTATTGTAATCATTAAAAGAGAATAATAAAGTTTAGATGCAGTTCAATTAGGTATTAATTTTTTAATGTTTATTTAGGGTGGCAAAGGTGGTGGCAAGGGCTACACAAAAACAATGACCTTGTCTCCAGAACTGGCGCAATTGGTTGGTTCTAGCAGTATGGCTCGTCATGAGGTGGTCAAGAAAGTATGGTCCATAATTAAAGAGCGTGATCTTTATGATCCCAAGAACAAGCAGTTTGCCATTTGCGATGACGACCTCTTCAAAGTAATCGGGGTAAAACGTTTTCGTACATTTGGTATGATGAAGTATTTAAAGAATCACTTTGTAAGTTAAACAAGAAAAAAAATTATAATTTGCCTCCCTTTTCATAAATTCTAATTGACATTCATTTTATTAATAATATACCCCTCTTAAGTTAACAATGCTTTAAGTTGTTTAATGTATGTATACTAAATTGTACGGATTCTAAGGTCAGTATAGTTGTATGTAGTCATCGATGATTTTTGATACTGTTTAGGACATCAATGCGATCGAAACCGCTGGTAAAAACTAATTTACTGTAATCGCTCATAGGTGAAATTTTATAGGATTTAATGGCAAAATTTTCACAATCCGTTTCATTGCAGATGTTGTGAACGTAGTAAAAGGATCTAATAGAACGAATGTCATAGGTAGTAAGAAAGAGAAGGATGGGTAAAAACACCCTTATGTGCACATGTCCCGCAGTCCGAATGTCCGTCAAAAAGGAAAAAACAAAATGAATCGGCAGGTGTTCGTGAAATGGCCGATCGCGGATAGTAGTTGCAATAATCCAGCCCAGACCAGGTCTTCGTAGGAATCAACAAAAATTGCAAACNTGTATTTGACTGGTAATAATTATTAGTTTTTTTGGTTCCTTTATCGATGGTCAAAGGTCAGCAAGTGCAATTTACACCGAAAATGTTCATACCCACGACTTCAGAAACTTTTCTGATCTTGAAAAAAAAAAATAATAAAAAAAGATTGGTGAAAAAATGCACTTGGCCCTTTGTAGTTTATAATCAAATAATATTTTCCGTCATTAGTTTTTAATTAAAAAAGGATGTGTCAGAGGTACAATTAATAACCAATCACTATAATATAAATCGATTGGTTACAGCATATTATATGCTAGAGTTGCACCTTTCTTCGTTTGTTCTTAGTGTTTAGATTATATTGATAACCGTAACATTTGTGAATTTAACTGGGAACCCTCACGTAAAATTTATGTATTAGTTAGTGCGATACTTTGTATTTTATATTCAATACAAGTTTTAAAACAATAATTAATTCTTTTAAATTCACCTATACATTAACTACTCTAAAAGACTTTTTAGTTAGTTTTTAATCACGCTTAAATAAAAATACAAAAAGTAATTTGTTTAAATTGTTATTTATTCTTCAACTGGACGTGTTAATTTTATTATGTGCTGATTATCATCCTTTCTTCCGCGTAAACCGAAAATGAATGTGGACGGTTTTGGTACATTTGTGTAATTGTCTTTCTTTGTTTGATAAACTTTATCTCTTTGCTCATGTGTGTTGACCTTTATTGATGACCATCCATTTGATTTAATTGTCTGAGTGGAGTGAGTCATCTTGGTCGAAATGTTAGCCTGAAAATTATTTTATAATTTTAAAACTGTTTCCATTTAATACCTAATAATAATTTGCAGCTACTCACAAGTATGATGGCTTCCCTTTTCCAGTCCCATACATTCCAGTAATACCTGTTCCTACAAAAGTATTTTCCTGAATTGGCAAACGATGGATGTAGGTCAGTCTGTATCTTCTTTTGATCGACTTCTCGTGCTTTTATTTTCTTCTTTAGTAATCTGTTAAGTGTGCGTAAAATATTTTTAGTTGTGTTTTTGATAGATAGGAACAATTTGTTATTGCTTCTGTGATTGTGCACTTACGTGGGAAAATCGTATACGGCGATCAATTGTTCAAAAATTTGCAAAAAGTTTATTAATTCCGGTTTGTTTCTGCCTAGATGTAAAGCTCGATTAACATTACTAAAAAAATTTAGATTGTTATCAACAATACAAATGTAATAGGTAAAAGGCTGTTACTCTCTTGGATCTTTGCAAAATGCTTCTGCAGCGTCTCTAGAAGAAAATGAATAATATTTGCCATCATAATCAGCGATACCTAAGTTTCGATTTCCAGGGATTAAACCTCCTTCAGTCTCCACAAGTTTCCAAGCGCAAAATCCTAGGAACTTTCAAGTAATAATTACTATTTCATCGTTATCAGTTAGATGTCGTAAAACCTACTTCTATTTTAATTGTATCAATGTCTTCGATATCGTTGGGATCTACGAATGTTACTAAGGGGGTGACTATATCCAGAGCACTTTCTTCTTGGCTTGCCTGAATTCTCTCAGCATCTGTTAACGTGGTATAAGAACCCAGTAAATAACTTAAACGTTCGTTGTCGTACGATGTAATTTGTTCAAAACGACCCAAATCGTACATAATTTTGTTTAAATTTGCCAAATAAATGGCTAGTCCTTGCATCTCGTACCAAGTTTGTGCCAAGTCCGTGAAAAATGGCTGCATTTATTAGAACTATCATTTATAATAATATTAGAAAATATTTGTCGTTTAACTTACGTAGACTAGGGATGTAAGAACTATAGTTTTAAATTTTACTATATTATGAAGTTTTTTTAAAATGTTACTGAAAATCTCAACCGTTGTATTAAATTTCCTGTCTACGTTTTGTACTTCTTCCAGAATTTGCCTTTGGAGTAATCAGTATTCTTATTTATTATTAGATTTCTTTTTATGAATCTTACCTCATATATAGTTCGTATTGTCTGTAAAATACGAGAAAGTCTTTTGCATATTCCAAATCTTCAGGTGTGGCAAAACCCATAACTATAACTGTTTTAGTATCATTGCCTACCTCATCCACAACACTTTCGTAAGCGGTATCAATTAACGTGGTAAGAAAATTTACCCTGTTTACGATATAACGCAGTGTTTCTTCGACGTCAGTTTTCGATATCTCTAGGGCTTGATTGACAAGTTTTGGCACTACGACACGATACTTAGGGTTAGGGATGATATATAAAAATTGAAGATGAAGAAATAGTTTGAATCAAAATCAGTATTAAATGGAAATTCCTAGACGCAAATTAATAGAGATAAAGGAAAATATTTTTTTTGAGTTTTTTTATAAATATTTACAATCATCTATACTACTGCCGCCCTTTTGACAGTCTTTGTTGAATAATCTTACACCAGTTGTAAGGTCTGTTAATGCCAATAAAGTGTCTTCTTTTATTTCTTCTGGTTGTAACAGAAAATATTTAATATCATCCCCAAAGAAAACGCTTTTGAGGGCACATTTGGTTTCTTCAAAAACCTGAAAATGTGTTTCCGTAGATGTTCACAAATCTTTATTAGAACCTCTCACTAACTTACCTCTTTTTCTGTAGGATCTCCAAGGCCTGAAAGTAAAGCACAGTAATAAATAATTTTCTTCATAAAATTGGTATATTCTTTAACATTAAGTTCTGCTTCAGGATTTTCGTATTTGAAGTTTATTATTTCCTTTTCCACTGATCGAAGTTTGCTTCTCATTTCGGGTTTGTGTTTATCAATTTCTTCTTTTTTAGATTCAAAATTTCCGCTGAAGTACATTTGTGTTTTCAATGATACTATACAAGGGTGTTCTTGGTGACTAAGTTTTTGTAAGCATTGGACTACAAATTTATGAACTGCGTTTCTTTCAGCTAATCCGTCCAAGGTTATTCCACAATTTGGGTCCAAAATTAATAATTTTACCTATTAATTTATTTCAGCGGTAAGGGGGTTTAAAAAAAGAGCTACTATTTTTATAAAATTATGAACTTTTTTATTGAATAAGTAAGTAAAAGAATATAGTAATGAACTTACGTAGTAAGTGACAAAGTTTCTGTATACTTTGACTCCTTTATTAGTGCATTCTCTGATAATTTCCCTAACAATATTATTTATTGCAACTTCTGCTTCATGAGTCTTCTTTTCGTCCATTTCCGATTCTAGTTGTTTGATCAATTATAGAAAGTTACTGCCGCAGGTGCCTATTTTATGTTTCTTTAGTTATGAAAAGAAATATTTAATTTAAATATAAAGTAAAATATTG